CGGCTCTTTCGGGGGCCGCTGGAATGGGGGGGCAGGCGTCGCCCCCTCTGCCGCCTGCTTTGGCGCCCGGGGAGGCCGTGCGTCGGCCCCCCCCCCCCCCCCCACTCTCCTCCTCCTTTTGTTCCCACTACTGCAGCTACCGGCCTCGTCGCCTACTTGCGGCCCCGTCACCTACCTACGGCCCCGTCGCCTACCTGCGGCCCCGGCCACGTCATCTACCTGCGGCCTCTGGCCCCTGTCGCCTACCTGCGGCCCCTGGCCCCTGTCGCCTACCTGCGGCCCCGGCCTCGTCGCCTACCTACGGCCCCGTCGCCTACCTGCGGCCCCGTCGCCTACCTGCGGCCTCGTCGCCTACCTGCGGCCCCGTCGCCTACCTACGGCCCCGTCGCCTACCTGCGGCCCCGGCCCCGTCACCTACCTGCGGCCCCGGCCCCGTCGCCACCTGCGACCTCGCCACCTGAGGCCCCGTCGCCCACTTGCGGCCCCGCCCACTTGCGGCCCCGACCCCGCCCCGGCCATGCCCCATCGCCAGCCGCGGCACACCGGGGGCACATGCACCGCCCCCCCCCCTTTTCTCGTCACCCGTCGCGGCTCTTTCGGGGGCCGCTGGAATGGGGGGGCAGGCGTCGCCCCCTCTGCCGCCTGCTTTGGCGCCCGGGGAGGCCGTGCGTCGGCCCCCCCCCCCCCCCCCCCCCCCTCTCCTCCTCCTTTTGTTCCCACTGCTGCAGCTACCGCTGGGGGGGAGGTTGTGAGGGTGTGGGGGAGCCCGGGGAGTGGCACTGGGGTGGCGGGTGTGAGACCACCCAGCAGCCGTCCCTCCACCTCTCCTCTCTTCCCCCCTCTGCTGCTCCTGCAGCAGTGTGTGGGGGAGGGGGAAGGGGAGGGGGAGGGGGAGGGTGGGAGGGTGTGAGGGTGTGGGGGAGCCAGGGGAGTGGTATTATTAAAACACTTTTCTCCTCCTGCACAATCGTGATGTACCCCTTCAGAGGGCGCTAACTGCATACTCATCTCCTACAGCCAGTTATGGGGGCGTGTCGGAAAATATAATTCAATATTTTCTATATATAACTGCCTGTAGGATTGGTTACTGTAGTTATAGCGTTTTCCTATTTGGTGGTGCACCTTTCTTGCTTGTTCTCTCATATTTGTACCCTTGAACCTATAGTGAAACCCCCTTTCTCTCGACTCTTTACTCCTTTTTCAACTTTCTCGAACTCAACTCACTCGATCTAACTAGCCATGGCTCCTAAGCCTTGCTAGAACTTTAACAACTACGCACAGCAAGACGGACAGCAGCATCGCGTGTAGCCCACTGGGAGCAAACAGTGCTGTCAGCATCGGCAGTAGGGGCAGGAGAGGCGCCAGACGTGAGATCAAACAGTGAAAGACCGTCTTTCCTATCGCACTGCAGGAAAAGCTGCAGATCATCGACCCAGACATCAAAGTCGACAGCCCGACCCTCAGCATCAAAGGTGAGAACGCTAGGGGTAGCCATGACAGCAGCGGTAGCAGGCTAGTAGCAGTAGCAGCAGGCGCGGCTCGACGGTGCTCTTACCAGGGCGGGTGGGTAGGGGCCCGCAAGTGGTGGGGCAGGGCCGAGGCGCGTCGGCAGGGACAGGGCCGCGACGGCGGCGGCGGCTCCTGCTGTCGGCGGCGGAGGCGGTTGCGGCCCTGGCAGCGGCGGTGGCGGCGGTCACGTCAGCGGCGGTTGTGGCGGCTGCGGCCCCGGCAGTGGCGGCGGCGGCTGTCACGGCAACAGCGGCGGCGGCTGCTGCTGTCGGCGGCGGCGGCTGCTGCTGTCGGCGGCCGCCGCTGCTGTCGGCGGCGGGTGCTGCTGTCGGCTGCTGCTGTCGGCGGCGGCGGCTGCTACTGGCGGCAGCTGCTGCTGTTCGCGGAGGAGCCGAGAAGGGGCCGGTAAGGGCGGCTAAGGGGCCACGAAGGGCCGTGAAGGGGCCGCAAAGGGTGGCGACGGGGCCGAGACGGGACCGAGAGGGGCCGTGAAGGGCGGCGACGGGGCCGAGACGGGGCCGTGAGGGGCTGCGAAGGGCGGCAACGAGGCCGAGAAGGGGCCGTGAGGGGGCGGAAAGGGCGGCGACCGGGCTGAGAAGGGGCCGCGAGGGGCCTCGAAGGGCGGCGACGGGGCCGAGAAGGGCGGCGACGAGGCCGCGAAGGGCGGCGATGGGGCCGCGAAGGGGCCGCGAGGGGCCACGAAGGGGCCGCGAGGGGCCTGAAGGGGCCGCGAAGGGCCGTGAGAGGGGCCGTGAGGGGCCGTGAGAGGGGCCGCTACGGGGCCGTAAGAGAGCGCGACGGGCCGCTAAGGCAGGGGACGCGACGGGAGGGCAGGCACACGGGGCGCGACTTGGGCAGGAGCGAAGCGCGCTCCGGGCAGGAAAAAAAAACATCAATTTTCCGGTGGGCCCTAGGAAACGTTCCCACTAGGGAACCTGCTCTATACCATGTGAAAGAATGAGGAATGAATGCACTAGGAAACAGGTGGGTACAAGTAGGAAAACCTAAAAGTGTTGTACCCCATATTGTCTACCCCACTACAGCCTACACAGACTATAGCATATATGTTTGACACATAGTGCTGCTTCAGAGATCTTCCCGTGAGCTCGGAGTATGGCGCGAGTGGAGCGCCAATGAGGACCAAGACCGCTGATGACGACTGTGACGAAGGCGTCTTCTGATATCGACCCTCCGCATCGAATGAGTTTGTCGCGCAATTCGCGACAACGGCTGATATACGCCATCCCCTTTTCGCCCGGTTTCATTTCCACTGTTGTCGGTTGTGCCATTAACCGACTCTGATTAACGCTGTCTGTTGCTTGATACAGGTTCTTCAGGTGGTTGTACGCGAGCTCGGCGGAGTTCCCGTATCGTCTGTAAGACCGAATGTTCTGCTGCTGGTTCGATGTGACGTTGCGCAGTAGGATTGTATACGCCATCATGGATTGATATGTGTACTGCTGCTTGTCGTATTGTGTCCCGTGTATTGGGTATGGCAGGGACCCGTCGAAGAAGCCAAGAATCTGCGCGCCTTCCATCATCAGCTCAAATTCAAATGACCAGGTAAAGAAGTCCTTTCCATCGAACGGTCTTGACGTCTGCAGTTTTAAGACGTGTGCAAACTGTGATTGAACTTGAAGTGCATCTAATGTCTTCTCTTGCTCAGATGAAGGCTGCTGGCGCGGCATGAAGCTGACGGAACCGCGCTGAGGTTCGTACGGGGCGAAGGTAGGTTTTTGTTGTTGATTTCCTCGTGCGTAGGATGAACCGTCGAGGCTCATTGGTCTTGCGTTGTTGTTGTTGCTATTGTTTGACTGCGCAGGTGCCCCTTGCTGGTGTTGTTCGTAGAAGGAGATGAAGGAGAAGAATTTCTCCATCATGTCTGGGTCGAAGGCAGCGGCTTGATTTGTGGGAGTTTCGGTAGACCCAGCTGCCGGCCTTGTTGCTGTGACTTCCTCTGTCTTTAGACCACAGGCAGGAGGTGGAGTAGGAGTAGTACCGGGAGAGCCGTTAGAGGAGCTTCTCTCCTTCTGCGTTGCCATACCTTGTGATGTTGTAGGTGTCTTGATTGTAGTTGAATTTGTCCTGATAGCTCTCATACCATGTTGGGCTGAGGAAAGCCCTTAGGATCTTTGCAGGACTAAATTCTGAGTAGGACAATGTAATAGCGGAAGCGTTTAATGAGAAGTTTGTGAACCACCTTGCGCTGGTATGTGAGGGCAAAGTAGATTGATTAAAATAAAGAGACACAAGCTTTTATAAGAGTACAAGGGAATATGAAGGGTTATAACTAATAATTGTTTTGCTGTTGCTGTTGTGGTTCGATACAGTGACGACTCGGGCAACTGCTCAATAGCGAGTCAGTTGTTTGTCCTTGTTGTCGCGCTGTACTTGTTAAGTCAGAGGTCACTGACCTTTGACTTTCGCCTAACCTCCAGCAGTTGTTCAACCTCCGAGTATTGACTCGCTGATGCTTCGATATGTTTCGCTTCGCTTCTGACTTGGTGTTTCGACACGACAGAGGCGCATAAGTTACTTGTTTCCAACACTGGTAACACTTCCTTCCTGGTTGACGTATGAATTTCCATCTGGCTCCGCAGCCGTATTGAGCTTTCATTCCTGATCTCCCTGCAGCGATGACAAATGCTCAGCTGATGGAGGAGGGCAATCGTGTGATGGGACAAGCGGACCAATCTGTTCTAAGATCCAAGCAGGTTCTTTCTTGCTTCGAAGACCTTTGTCGAAGGCGATGCATATGTTTATTACCGTACGTGCTTTTTGTGTTTCAGGTAGTTGAGAACACTATCAACATTGGAGCAGCAACGGCCACGACTTTGAAGGGACAGGTATGGCGCTGAAGATTCTGCCTTGTAAGTGCGGGGTTCTTACTCTTGTGTGACGCGTGCAGACCGAACAAATGGAACGGATTGTTGATAAGCTTGACAATTTAGAATTCTCCCTTAAGCGGGCAGCCAAGCTTGTGAAGGCATTGGGCCGACAGGTGAGTCAGATGATGGTGAGTGCTCTCTTTTCCCTAAACCATGCGACCTGCTTAACACAACCACTGAAGCAGATGGCAACAGATAAATGCATCTTGGCAATGCTGGCGCTTGTTATTCTTGGAGTGATTGCCATCATAATCGTCAAGGTGAGTTGGGCCTTTGCTCCAGTGACTATCCCTGACATCTTCGCCTGAACTAACTCTCAACTGGTTGCAGATCGTGGACCCGCATAACAAGAAGCTAAGTGACTTGGGTCCCCAAGCTCCTCCAGCTTCAAACTGAATCTTGTCTTCGAATGTTATCCAGTGTACAATGTCATCATTAAGCAGAAACATTCACTATATTACAAGCAGCATATGCTCCCATTTCCCGTTTAAGACCCCGTTCCTAGTTGCAATCCACGATATGCAGTTACAGCACAATTCCTCTCACATCACCCCCATGACGGTACTTCACAAGCAAGAACTCCACGGGAATGATAAGATAGAACTACAAACCGTAGTAAAGGGTCTCTTGCTGCCCATTCACTATCAGGGTGAAGGTTGCCGCCAGGTGATCACCTGACATGGTAGCTCCCACCAGAGCAGCCATAAACTTCTGCAGTCCCAAGACGCCGGCCGTGGTAGCAGCTCCCGCGGGGATTTTCACGTCGACAGTCTTGGAGCAAGTGAACACTCCCTTGATGTTCGATGTGAAGGGGCATGCTAGGGTGAGAGGGGCAGACTTGTCGGCTCCGACCTGACCCACCAGAGAGACCTTTGAGTTGGTGTTTACGCCCTTGGTGAAGGCCAGGTGCACCTCGAGAGTAACCTTGGTGTTGCTGCTTGACGGGCAGAGAGAAGGGGCAGAGAGAGGGTGCAGGAAAGAGGGGGGACAGAGAGAGTGGGCAGAGGAGGTGCAGATAGGGGGTGCAGCAGAGGGGGGGCAGCAGGACACAAGAGGTAAAGCAGGTGAAGGGAAGAGCACAAGCTGAGTTTAGTTTCACGCCTCTGATGAGGGCCAGGTGCTCTTCCAGGCTGACCTTGGTGTCGCTATATGGCGGGGGGATAGAGGGGAGGGGCAAAGAGGGGGGGCAGAGAGGGGGGGCAGAGAGAAGGGGGGGCAGCAGAGGACACAACAAGTAGAGCAAATATAAGTCGATTTGCTTGCTTGTAGTCTTATATTCTCGGAAATTTGTCATTCTAGGTTTCCTCTCTGACCAGCCTCACCATCCCAAACCCCTCGAATGCAGCCTCTCTGGATTGGCTTTCGCCGTTACCACTCTCATCGCAATAGATGTTCCGAAATTACGAACTCACGTGCTGGTGGCGATGCGGATCTTGGCTCCCCCAGCCACGGTCCCCGAGAACATGGCTTGGAATCGGCCGCCTGACATGGATGGCAGCACTGCGAGGCCTGGCACATGGGAGGGGCGGATGGGCGCATTGGGAGAGTCACAACGGGAAAAGGCGGAATGGGGGGGGGATGCACGAGGAGGGGTGCATCAGGGGGATTGCAATGGGAAGGGTGCAATTCACAGAGTCCGCCGCAACGCAGTATAACTTGTTCTGTCACGAGTAATCATAACGAATGGATGGAAGAAGAACACAATCTGCTTTGCCGGATTCATAACTAGAGCGTCCGTACCAGTATCGAGAGATCCGATCTTCGCTAGCGATCCTGACGCGGTAATCGCGTTGCCGTTCACATCCGCGTGCGACACTTCGGCCCCGACACCAATCAAGGCGCTTCCTAGAGCAATGGCCCCCCAGTCGAGACTCCTAGTCAGGTCCCATACACCCGGAGCCACCAGTTTCCATTGACTGGCGTCCGACGCCAGAGACGTGCCATCGAGTAAGACGTCCGTTGGCGGTTCGACGGTTCCCGCCATGACCACCCGGAGAACCACCGGGAATAGGCCCGTGCTGGGGTGATGGGAGCGCGAGGAGCGGGCGGGGAGAGGGAGGAAGGGGGGAGTATGAATAACACGGAGGTTTCAGAAGTCAGCAGAAACGGCGGTTTATCAGCCGGCTGGGTTGGAGAATCTTCGTGATATGGAGGAATGAAGGAATGCGACGGCACGGGGAGACTTTTGGAAGGCCGGACTTACTCGGCAGGCATACGCACGATCACGGTCCCCTGCGATTCGTATGACGACACCACCAGAGCACTGTACAATGCTGCAAAGATATGGAGTGGGAACGGGAGAACGAGGGGTTAGCCGCTGAGACCGCTCTAGTCTCAGAATGGTAACACAAACTGAGCGTGACGCTGGGTCAAAGCGGTGACGCGTATGGACTTACATGATTTCGAAGAGGTTGCTGGAACGAATTTCTTGATATCCGCGTCCGCGACCTCGAACGCCGCTGAAGTCATGGTGACAGGCGCCGCGCAGAGGAGAAGCACGAGTCCTGCGGCGAAAATCAAGTGTATCGTGTATGATTTTTTGTTTTCAGCGTAAATCGATGTAAAATACAACCGCAGAGGCTTCGATTTCTTTCAAAGATGAGGGTAGCTGTAATGAACGGGCCATCTGAATTTTGCGCCTTGAAGATTCTTACCAGGAAGGCACATAAGGCAGGATACGAGCCAATGCGGAATTGCGAGGCGGGCCATGACGACACGTTTGAGTGAAATGCCGTGAACGGACAATGGAGGTAGAAAGAATTAGCAGAAGAAGCTCGGTCTGGTCTGGAAGAAAACTGGGTAGGAGCGAGAATGAGCACAAGTGCAAGCGGGATTGCTGCTCGAGAGGTGAAAAGCACGATGTGAACTGATGAATGTTGTGAAGTATGTTGAGTTATGTACTGTGTGGAGTTGTCTGCTTGGGAAGAAGGATGGGGTAGAGGCGGATAAGCTTGGCTGAGGAATTTACGAAGGCTTACAGGGGATTAATATGCGTTGCAGAGAGATAACAATGGATAGAGGTGGGCGGAGGAAGGAATGGATCGGGTGGGGCGATGGGATTGGAGGTTAGAATCAGGCACTGCATTATTGGGTGTCCGAAGCGCGCTATTTGAAAATCGCATTGGTGTGTTTGGTTGGCAGAAATAAGTTTTTGCTTCCGATGAAGTGATTGGGCGAGCTCATCTTGAAAATCTGCCCGCCCTTGTTGGGCAGCAATAATGCAGTACCAAATATTTCCATGACACGGGGCAGAAACCTTACGTGCGAAAGTTGACATCCTGAATTACCACCACCCTCTGTGGCACCCCCACTTGCGAAGGGTTTCGTCAGAAGTCGCTGACTCGTTCAGACACCAACGAAAAACCCGTTTCAGCGACACAAACCCAATAAACAGCTCCCTTTCAACCATCCTCCTTCACGGTCAGCCCCGTTCATTTTAGGATTCAGTGAACCGCGACCAGCAACAGCCCGCAGCTGACGGAGTCTGACGGCTCTGTCAGATGAGGAACGGAATTATTGGTGTGCTGATTTCCGTCAGCTTTTATTGTTCTTCCTCCTCTCCTCTCCCCATCGCCTTCAAACGGTCACAACCAGCCAGCCACACGGTAAAGCTCAAAACAGTTTTCCACCGTGTGAAACCGTCCTGCGCCATGAAGCACCCCTTCGCCTCATACATCTCAACCAGCCAGCCAGTCAATCAGTTTCCCAGTTTTCTTCCTAGCTTTCACCATTCAGGAACGCGTACATAGCTCAGCCTATTTCCTGCCAACTAGGTTCCATCGGCGCAGCTGAGACGCGAACGTCTCTTGCTTCGTTCCGTGAATAACGGAACACATGAAGCCTCTATTATTTCACTTCTCCAATGGAACGCGGACGTTTGCATTATCGCTGGACCCCTGGCCAAATGGTTGACGGACCGACAATGACGGTCCGGGTTTCGCGCTTACCTCACACAAAGCAGCTGAGCGCTGCGTGTTCACTTCCACCCTTGGACGCAAGCCTTCTCATCCGTAAATCGTTTATTACCACCATCAGAGCCACATCCTTTTCTCATCAACAGCCTTTCTCTTCCCTAAACATTCCTTTCAAAGAGCTCCTTCTTCTCTTAAGACCGCAAACACTGTTGCAACCGCGAGTTCCTTTCACATCAGTGGTATCGTTTAGGGCTTCTCAGCGACACAACAGAAACACCCGCGATGGCTCTCCCCCGTGTTCTCACGTGCCTCCTCATCATCGCCAGTACGACTTCTCATCAACCTATGCCTCTCTCATCGATCGCTGGGCTGTTAATCAGGCTTATGAAAAAAAAAAAAAACCCATCGCCATGCTTTTTTCAAACTACGTCGTATTTCGCTGTCGTTTTAATCGTTTTTCATCATTCTGATGAACTTGCTCTTATCATTTGTAATCATTCCAATGAACTCGCTATTATAAAATTTCCATTATTCTGGTTAGCTTGCTTTTTTCATTGTCATCATTCTGATGAACTTGCTTTTGTGGTCCTCTTCAGGCGTGCTGCTCTCGTCGTCACTTCCCGGAGCAGAGGCGGTGAGCGAGGCGGCCAAGCAGCGCGCCGCGAAAGCGGGCCTCGCGTTCGTCAAGGCCGTCCTAACGATGCTCTTCCCGCCGCCCACGCCCGCCGCCAGTCAGTGCCTCCATCCCTTCCCTATCGCTCTCCCCGCTCCTGCTTGAAATCCTTTCTCCAGAAAGTTCGAGTCTGAATTTTGTGGAGATTTATCGTAATGAATTCTTTAACGTGATAAAATGGCTGTCGCGTTTTGTGTCAGTTCTCGTAATCCGTGACTCGAGATGGCTCTCCATCATTGCCACGTCGGATAATCACCCATCCTCATCACCCGCCTCCTCCCCTTCTCATTGCCATGTCGGATGATCCCCAATGCAGAGTTTTACAGCGCGGACTTCTCAGATCTGAACGTGGCAGGGACGTTCAGCATCGCTGTCCCCTCCAAGTAAGTATTTGTTATCAGGACTCTAAACCCGGGATTCAGAGTTGAAAGTTTTGTGGTTCAATTCGGGGTCAGGGTTTCGTGGTGGGAGCATAGCATACGCCTTGTCGCAAGCAGCAGTGTGGGTGTGGTGGGGAGCATTGAGCCGTGCTCGCGAGCACTGACGGCAGGGACGGCTACAGGACGACCCAGGAGTGGAGATATGTTTCTGCTCTCCCTGCCCCCCTATTCCCCAATTTCTCCCCCCTCTCCCCAACCCCCTGTCTCTCCCTGCCCTCCCCCCTTTTCCTGCACAACCTTGGGGTGTCATGTCCTGAAATTGTAATCCCGTTTGGTGAAAATTCTTTTCTTTATTTCTTTCTTTTGATCGTCTTTCCCCAACCTTGCCAGGTCCGCGACCAAGCCGTCGCAGTTCCGCCTGACCGCTGCAGGCTCGCCCTATCCGCCGCAAGAAGTGACTCTGAGCTGGGCTCGCTCGGAAAGAACTTGCAGTGCTCGCAAGTCGCGCCGAGCGTGTGGGACTGCTTCGGCCAGACCAAACTGACCCAGGCCGACATCAACAACATCGGGTTCACGGCTGGCGTGGGGGTTCGCGTCAATTCGTATGCGTTGAGTCTCACGTACATGGATGCACACAACATGGGGCTTGTCGTCGACTCCAACGCGAACCTCGCGGTAGCCAAGGCAAACTCGAAAATGGAGCAAGTCTTTGGTACGTTGTGTGCCCCCCCATCCATCCTGGTAACCCGGTTTGTGTATTTCTGTTTTCTTAGCTGTCGTGAGGAGCAGTCGTGTGTCGACTGACAACCCGAGATTGCCCATTTCACCTCTTTCGCTCACATGAAACAAGGTTTCAAGACGGGCAGTTAACTAACTCAAGTCAATGTTGCTGCAGGTAAAACCGATCTGCTGGCTGGGGTTGCCGCTGGAAGGTTCCAGGCAGGAATTAACAGCGAGAAGCTTAAAGGAGGAGCCATGTTTGCCGTCTCCAACATGTGAGTCCCTGTTACAGCTGCAATGGAAATGTCAATCCTGGTTCTCACATGCCAATCTTCCTTTTCCTAAAATTTCACCATCCACGCACACAGATCTCAACCCCACTGCCTCATTTCTCTCTCCTCCCTTCTGCCTTCTTCCTCGCAGCAACCGCAAGTGCAAGCTAGACGTGAGCATCGTGGTAGTCTCCCCAGATGCCCCCAAGTCAGCAACTCTCTCCGTCTCTGACCCTGCTTCTGCTGAAACCACCGACCTTAACCTTTCTTGCACATGGTCCCAGCCCCGCCCCGGCGTGTGGCTCTGCGAGTGGCTTGATAACTTTCCGAGTGTGTCGGGTGCTGCTGGCACTGCAAACGCTGCATATGCGGCTGCTGCCAGCATGCGTGCTGCGGCCCTGCCAGGCTCGGCAGTGGATTCGGTGATTAAGCTGACTGTGGAGTCGGAAGCGGGGGACACTGCTGAAGGCACGCTGCGTTATGCTCTCTGAACGAACTCTGTCAGGACTGCTCTGTTCCTCACAGGGTGGTGCCAGCCACACCAGGAAATTTATGGAGAGAAGCGTGTTAGTGGCAGTGAGTAAGTGTAGGGGGCCTACTGCTTCCTCCTCTCCGAAAGAGGTGGCACTGCCATGTTTCCTCTGTTTTGCGTGCAACCTTCCTGTAGTGCTTGCTGCATCTACACCTCGTGCCCTGTTGATGGTGCATCTGCATTCTTGTTGTACAATGTCCTTGTCATGCAAACTGTAAGCAACTTATATAAAGCGACTTATATACACCTTCTGTATCATTGGAATGAACCAATCTCTTTATAACAATCACCAACTAGCTTACAGTAAACAATGTTTGACCTTATGTAGTACAGTAAGTCGTTACTGTCATAAGGTCAAGGCTAGTGGCCTCCAACAAGCTCCGTCCTTACAAACCACGCACGCCCACAAACGCATAGAGAAACACATGATCCAGTAACTAAACCGATCGAATTAGTCATATGAATTTCCGTCCACACCCCATGATCCCTTTTCCTCCTGATTCACTTGCACTCTGATCTTCCACGGAGTTAGCAGGTCAACTGCAACGAGCTAGGCTAATCCGACAGACAACTCAAGTGCTGCACACATGATCTCGTTCCCATGATCCGATCTGATCCACCCAGGAACCCATCCTCCCACCCATGTTCCTGCTTTCCTTCCACTGCCCCCCTTACACGCTACCGGTATTTACTCTCCTTCCCTCCTCTCCCTTTAGCTGGTTTTGCCACTGCTGCTGCCACCGCTGCTGTTGCTGCTGCTGCTGCTGATGTTCCATCCCGCACCACAATACACACCTAGTACACCCGCAACTAACACACCCCAACTCTGTACCTGGAACGCACACAACCAGTAACAGTGTCTGTTACAACATACTACGCTCAGATGCTTTACTGCTACTAGCAGGTTACAACCTGCCGCCTTCCCTGAACGATATCTCGAACCAGCTTGGTAGAAGCTTCACCCAGTTGAAGTGAGTCGGTTGAATGAGGTGAATATATAGTACGCATAGAACCTATGCAGAGTTTGACACTCTTTATCTGTTCCAGGACCACCTTCTCAAAGATTGACAAGTGCGAAGACCCTTCTCGACAAAGCCAGTTGCTGGAAGATGTCACGCCTAAACTTAGAGAGTGCAGAAGGTGGATATGAAAACTCTGCCGTTGCGTCGAAGTTGC